TTGATTCATTACTTCTTTTTTGCCCTGACAATCAATTTGTTTTGAGCCATAATTTTCGAGATAAGGTTCGTCAAAATCGGAAGTTTTTTTAAAACTCAAAATTTCTCGAAAACTTGTGTGAACATTTGTTCATGACAAGAATCATCCCTGAAATTATGCCACCTCTTGCGAAGCATCCTGTATATAAATATACATGTTTATATAAGTGTATAAAATTCATAAAGCTTTATATATTTTAAAATATATAAAATAAAAAATTTATAAAGCTTGACATATTTTTTTTAAATACAATCGAAAATCGTTAACAAACAAAAAAAAATTGACATTTTTCTAAAACTTTGGTAATTAGGATAAAAAATTTAAAAACGCGTTATAAACGTATACAATTTTTTAGTTTCTTTTTTTTTTTTTTTGTTTTTTGCTTTTTATACTGAACAATAAAGAACAACAACAACACACTTTTTTTTTGCTAAAACTTTTGTGTATAACAAAATGCGCATGCAAAATCAAAATGAAATTAAAAAAAAAACTAAATTTAAGTTAATAAAAAAGTTCAGTTCCACATTGAAAATAGTATTGCAATACCTAACATCAATCAACAGTCTTCCTCAGCAATGTAGAAAATTATATCTTTTGCGCAGAAATTTCCGAATTTATGGTTACTTCGATATGCAAAGTATTTAACATAAAAGCATATTCAGCAATTTTATGAAACAAAAGACTACTGAAATCATTTTGTTATAACCTATAGTGAAACAGAATTTGTCAATTCAATGTAAAAAATAAATACATATGCAGAAATTTTATTTTACTAAATTTTCCAGCTGACGTAATTTTGTTGTGCTTTTTCTTCATAAATTTTCAAATATAACAGCTTTAAAATTAATAATTTAATTATTTCGTTTAAACAATGTAAATATTTTCAAGGTTTAATTTTGGAATCAGCTTTATCACGGAATTACGCCATTTTTAAGGTCGCGGAATATATATACCCTAACATTTCAAAGTTACATAGAAATATTTCATATATTCAAGCAATATAAAAACTTACATTATAAATATGAAATCAACTACATCAATTTTTTTTGCTTTTCTGTTAATGCTTTATGTTGTTGAAGCTAGAAGCCAAGAAATCTTTTTTATTGGTCAGAAATAAAAATAATAAACAATTATATACATTAATAGACAGAAAACAATGTAATGAATTTTTATATGCAAAATATGTATGTACGATATATGAATTTAGTTCGTCAGCATGTAATTTTTATAACTTTTAATCTAAACTTTTTATATTTTACTCCAATATAATATTACTTGAGGTATAAAAAAAAAATGAAAAAATGAATAAATGATTTATGTTTAATATATACATATTAATATATATAAATATATAAATAGGAGATAAATTTTTCCGTGGCCTAAAAAATGTAGGAATACCGTATTATTCTGCATTAATAATTCGGCAATTATAATTCTTAACTTGAACTATATATTAAATGCAATATTACTACAATTTTAAAGTCACTGTGACTTATCTTTAAAAAACACTACTTAGATATTTTTCGGTTAGTTTGACAAGAGGTGTTAGCCATTTAAAGTCAATTAAGTGTTATAAAATATGTCAATTTTTTTTCTTAATTTTATATTAAATACACGAATTTTTTTTTTTAATTTTTTTCGTTTTTTTTTTTGTTAATATTATTTTGCTTTTACACAGAATTTATATATGTATATGCTTTATGTATAAATAGTTTTTGTGTATTTACTAATTATCATAGTTACATTAAAAAATTAAATTTTTTGTTAATTGAGGGACAAAATTAAGTTGAAGTTAATTAAATAAAAAATATTAAAATATATTCAACAACATTCTATTAGTTGCATCCCTTGATGTGATGGGTTGTTATTCAAAAAACTTTTTGTAATTTTTTTAATAATATCAATTTTGGAATTTCTATAATAAAAACTAAAATATATTTCAATAATGTTCCATAATTCCAAGAAAGGCGGCTAACAGAATATGAGTGATTATTAAAATTAAATGACTCCTTGAATTCAAAAATACGGACGGTATTAATGCATAATTCACCCTATAAATGTGAATTGCTGAACTATTGTGCATTAACACAGTATTACTGCATTTTTTGGAAATCAAGGATTATAATACAACTAGAATATTAATTAGAATTATAATGCGAAGGGGAAGAAAAACGAAGGCAAGAAAAAATTTTCAATTGTAATAATAAAAATAATAATAAAAAAGTATGATTCTTAGCAACGTATACTTAAGGTTTTTCTACTAATTAAAAATTTTACTTAACAAAAATCGACCAGAGACTTTTGTTTTGCTTCTGTATTTTATTAATTATGTTTAATTTCTCCAAGATACATTTTTGTATTCTACTTTCTCATTTTTAAATATTCCTTTTTTCTCAAGAGATTTTTTTTTATTTTTTAGAAATCTCATACGAGTAGCTTTGGTTTTTTTTTTGTAATCAATTTTTGAATTTTTTGACATTCCGTAACTTCGACATAAACTTTACAAAGTATCCGTGACTTTAATAATGTGCTTACGACGTAAATTTTACAAAGTATCAAATTCCAAAAAGTTTAGTAAAAGATCTTGACATTGTACACCTTTCCTAAATGCGTTTTATGCGTAGTGGAGACGTAAAATAAAAGTAAATCGGGTATCGAAAAAGTCGAGCACGCTTTTCTTATACCTTCTCATATAAATGTTGCCATAAATAACCAATTAAATAAATTGCATTAAGCAATAAAGTGCTAGATTTTAAGTTTTTTTCCTAAAATGCAGCATAAAAATGCAATGTTTTTAATAACTTAGTGACGTTTGTTAAAAATTAATATTGCACAGAATTTTAAATTGAACTTTTCAAACAAACGTCAAAGTATGTAATAATATTGTAAAAATTGTATTCCAAAATGTACGAAAAGCTTTAGTAGTTTTTTTTTTTAAAATGTAAAGGTATTGAAAGCTTTGAGACGGTACTACAACCGTATTAATACCATACGTAAATCTTTTTTACAGCATTATTGAAGTCACGGTATCACATTCAAAAAAGTTTACTAAAAGCTCTTGACATTTTACTTTTCATAAATGCGTTCTATACGTAGTTGGGTATGTAAAATAAAAGTAAATCGGGTATCGCAAAAATCGAGCACGCTTTTCTTATACATGTTATAAAATGTAGCCAAAAATAACCAATTAAAAAAACAAGTACATATATAATATATTTTCAGCAATGAAGTGCTAATTATTAAGTTTTTTCTTAAAATGCAGCATAAAAATATTTAATGATGTTTTAACGTTTGTTAAAAATTAACATTTTAAGTTGAAATTTTCACAAACGTCAAACTATGTAATGATATTGTAAAAATTGTATTCCAAAATGTATCAAAAGCTTTAGCAGTTTTGCTTTACAATGTAAAGGTATTGAAAGCTCTGAAACGGTAGTACAATCGTATTAATATCGTACTTAAACTTTTTATAAACCATTATTGAAGTCACTGATTATAAAAAAAAAAGTTTTAAGAAATATTAAAATTTTATTGAAATTGAAAAAGAATATATTTAAATAAAAAAAGTTTTTAACAACTAACTTTCTTTAGACCTTAGAGTTGGGAGATGAAAAAAATTTTTTTTTTGGTACATCAAGATTTCCAATTATCATATTCATTTTCATATTGATATCCGCCAGACCACAAAGCTCACAGGAGTAAATCAAAAATAATTTCGAAATTTGTATGAAAAACGTTGAGCTCTAGTGTTGGAAATTATTTGTGTGAAGAAAATTGGAAATTGACTAATATTTTTACCTCTGCTGATTATACAAATTATTTAAATATTTAATACTTAAATTTCTCAAAAAATGGTTTGAAAAATGCAATTTAAAAAAAAAAATTAATTGCAATTTTTCAACACATTTAACCTTTCCCTTCTCTCCTAAAATGAAATGCTAAAATGAAAAATGGTAATGAAAAAAAATGGTGAAAATAAAAATGGTAATGAAAAAAAAACACAAGAAAAATATAAATTTTTAACCCCTCATCTCCCTCCTCCATCCTTTAGACCCGTCGACTTTTCACCTTGTTTGCACACACAAATATAATTTTAATTATTATAATATAGAGGAGTGTGTGTGTAATCGTTTTACTTTTAAAATTGTACTAATAATTCTTTTTTCTTCATTTTTTTAATTTTTAATGTTTAAATATGAAATAAATTCGAGACTATTTTTTTTTTATTTTTAATAATATTTGTTTTTTATATGATACGCAGAATATTTGAGACTGGACTAAGGTTGTTTTTTTTTTCTTTTTTTTTATTTAGTAATAAGATTAAAGAATTTCAATTCTCTCTATTTAAATTTTTAATTTTTGCCTAATAATTATATAATAATATGATGCAATCATTTTGTTTTCTTTAATTAAATTTGTAATGATTTTTTGTTTTTTTTTTTAAATTTATAATTTATTTTAATAGTTTTTTTCAATATTTTTATTTATATTTTTTTATATTGAACATAACAGTTTTATTTTTTTTTCAATTTTTTTTTTGTTTTTCAATACAATACGTAGGTTGTTTTATTTATTATTATTTTATTTATGCATGTATTTTTGTTTTTTTTTTAATTTTTTCTCTAAAAATTTTAAACTAAAAAACATTTTATTTTCTTTTTTTTAATGATTAAAATTAAAATTTTAATTTTTTTTATATTTATAAGTGTATAACCTGCTTTAAATATATTATATATATATATCTTATATATACTATATATATTATATATATATATGTATATATTATATATATATATATATAAATGTACATATGCGTATCAATGCATATTTATATATATATATATATATATATATATATATATACATAGATATTTATTTAATTATATTTTAATTTTTCTATGCAATTTTTAAAAAATCTATTTAATTTATTTATACCTCTTCTCTTTTTTTTTAATTATTTTTTTTAAATATATTTTTAAATACATATAATTTAATTATTTTAATTTTATATTTTTTTGTTATATATAATAATAATAATAATATTTTTTTTATATATAATATGAACTTTGTTATTTCTTTTTTTTTTATAATTAATTTTTAATTATTTTTATTTTTAATTTTTCAGATATATTTGATTTTAAATTAATATTTGAATAATTTTCTCACGTTCTTTTCTTTTTGAATTTATAAATCATTTTTTTGTATTCTTTGTTTCTGAAATACAATATTTATATTTTTTTTGCAATTTTATAAATTTGTTTTTTAATTTATAATTTTTCATTTTTTTTTTCTATTTTATTTATATGCCATTTTTTATACTACGCTTGAAAAAAATCTTATTTAATAATTACTAGTTAATAGTTAAAAACAAAATACAATAAAACAAAAAATTAATTATTAATATTATCGAAACATAAAAATAAAAAAAAAACGCACGTAATTCATTTTTATCTCACAAAACTCCACTATTATTTTTTTAATTCTTTGAAAAAAAGTAAATTTCTTTTTGTATTTTTACTTTCTTAAATACATATTTTTTTACCATTTATGTTATATATTTTATTATGTTATTTAATAGCTAATCAATTACACATTATTGAAATAAATAAGGCAAATCAGTCATCCAGTTTAGATTTGGAACGATGCCTACTAAAAAAAAAATAAAGAAGTTAAAATAAAAAAAATAAAAAAAACATAAAATCAAAATAATAAAAAATATGAATAAATTATAAAAGATAAAATTTAAATAATAACAAAATTAAATAAATTAAAATTGAATAATTTTAAATAAAAAAATTGCTAAATTTATTATTAATTCATTTATTTAATACAAACGTTTTACAAAAATTTATTTATAAGATAAAAATAGGTATACGAGTATTCGATATTTGAAACGATTAGAAAAAAATTTGAATATGTATTGAAAATATTTGAAATCAAAATATAAATACAATATCTATTTATTTATGAAGAGTTCTAGACTAACATTAAAGAGGAAGTCAAATTTAATTCAATTTCATAAACAAAAAAAAGGTAACGAATATTATAAGAATTTGATATCTTTAATACAAATTGAATTTTATAGGGGAGTATTCAGTTTTCATAAATTTTAAATATTCCCCTCTGATATCACAATTTGCTTGATTGATTAATAATATGCAATTCAGGAATTAAACCAGTAAAAAAATTTATTTAATTGTAATAATACTGATATATAATCTTACAATTATTTTTTTAAAATAAATTCAATTAAAATTATAAATTTCAAATTCATAAAATTTCATGTAGAGTTGGAATTTATTTCATTACTAATTTAAATATTCCGACATTCTTTAATTTGGTTAGATATTGTAATTTATAAATTAGTTCAAATTTTTGTATTTTTATAGTCTGTATATTCATTCTGAATTTCCTCAATATAAATTATAGTTTTGTTTACTTTGTCGTTTAATTCATGAATTTCACCTAATAAAGAATTTATATAAACAATATTTTACTAAAACAAATTGGACACTTACTGAAATTCTTTCAATATTGTGAACATAATTTTTTATTAATAAAAACTTACAATTTTTTATTTTTCAACTATTGATATAAAAATTTGGATAATGAAATATTGATTCTGCAATAATTTATTTAAAAATTTTATTGACATTATCGATTTTCACTATTTGAAATAACAATAAAAAAAACATCATAATTTAAAAAAGCAATATTTAAATTTTTTTAATACTGTAAAAGAAAACAAAAATATAAAATACTTTCTAGAAGGAAATGGGTGCATTTATTCCCTTGCATGGAAAACGATAAACAAATTTTATACAGCTATAGAATAATATATATATATATATATATATATAGACTGCTATTATTACTAATTTTTTTTACATCTAATTACTTTTATACTTTATATTGAATATATGTATATACATATTATATATACCAGAATATCTACATGTACATACTTATGTATATGTATATTCATATACAAAAGTATATATATATACCTATATATAATTCTATATTTTATTGATATTTTTCTATTTTTCTTCACTTTCTTTCTTTTTTGTTGGTTTTAATATTAATATTTTTAATATTTTTATATGATTTTTTTGGTATTAAATTAAAAACCTTTACCTTGAGATTGTAGAGGTCCTTGTTTAAATGGAAGAGGTTGGGGTCCATTATCACTTCCATACGATCTTGCTCCATATGAATTTGTTTGATCACCCGAAAAGTTACCTAAAAAATGTTGCAAATGTTGATTAAAATAAAAATATTTAAAAACTCTCATTCAAAATATAGAAACAAAAAATAAATTTACTCGTCTAAAATTTTTAGTAATGATTAAATAATGTATAATATTTAGAATATCTAACAAATTTTTAACAATAATAAAATGATCATATCCCTAAAAAAGAATATATCGTGAGGTTAATGCTACAACTCCAAAATTTTATATTTTTAGATAATTAACTTAGGCGTCATAAAATCAAATGCTATTTCATGTGCGCCCAATATATAAGCTCAAAACTGTTCCTAAATATCTGAAAATGATAATCTTCATGATAAATTATTTGTTATTGCTAAATTTTGTATCTTTAAAAGTCAATATCTCTAAACCATTAATTGTGAGTTATCTAGTTCTAGCTTTAACCTCACGTACATTTAATATTTGTGGAACAATATATAAAACATTCGTGCTTCATAAACCAAAATTTTGCTTCATAAACCAAGCTTTTACCAATCTATGTATTTTTTTTCTAGATAAAGCCTCGAGTAAATCTAGTTTTTTTTAGCAATTTATTTACGGAAGTCACGATTATTAAGCTAACTAACCTAAACATAAATATTTCGCAAAATACCATTTTATTTAAAAATAAATTTTTATCAATCAAATCTTTTTAAAATCCGTTTAAAAAATGTTGAATCTCTGTTATAATTTTGTATGAAGTGTGCTTTAAAATATTAAGGTCGTCAGAAATTTTAATTAAAATTGATGTTTTTTCATTATTTTCTACAGATTTTAAAATAAAATAGTTAAATTTAAATACTTTTGTCCGAAATTAAATATTTTTAGATATTGAAAATATTTAAAAAATTTTTATTCTCTATTAGAAAGTTCTATGAAGCATGCCTTAAAAATTACATGTCCAGCTTTTCATATTTTATGAAGCATGCCTTAAAAATAATATTGATGCTTTTCATAATTTTTTATAGATTTTAAAATACTTGCAGTTAAATTAAATTATTTTCGTCCAAAATAAAATATTTTTAGTTATTATATTTGAATACATTTAAAAATATTAACTTTCTATTAGAATTTTTTGTAAAGTGTGGTTTAAAAAAATATCTCTGGCTGAGCGAAATTATAATTAGTATTGATGTTTTTTCATTATTTTTTTAAAAATTTTAAAATAAAATAAATTAATTTTATAGAAATTATAATTAATATTTTTGTTTTTTTTGCAGATTTAAAAAAAATAGTTAAATTTAGTTATATTTGTCCAAAATAAAATATTTTTATTTATTAAATTTAAAAATATTTAAAAATTTTCGACTTCCTATTAGAATTTTCTGGGGAGTGTGAATTATTTTTGTCCAAACCAAAATATTTTTAGTTATTGAATTTAGAAATATTTAAAGAATATTGATTTTAGAATTTTCTATGTAGTGTACTTTAAAAAATTATCCCTGGTCCAAATCCTGGCCGCGCAAAATTTTATTGAATATTGATGTTTTTTCATATTTTTTATAGATTTTAAAATAAAATAAATAAATTAAAATATTTTTGTCCGAAAGAAAATATTTTTATTTATTGAATTTGGAAATATATAAAAAATATTCACTCTATTAGAATTTTCTATGAAATGTAGTTTAAAATCTCTGCCAGATTGCCAGAAATTATAATTAATATTGATGTTTTTCATAATTTTTTATAGATTTTAAAGTACTTGCAGTTAAATTAAATTATGTTCGTCCAAAATAAAATATTTTTATTTATGAATTTGAAAATATTTCTCATTACTTTTTAAAAATTTTGAAATTAAATAATTCAATTTACTTATTTTTGTCAAAAATAAAATATTTGTAGTTAATTAAATTTGGACAAAATGGACTTTCTAAGAGAATTTTCTATGAATTAAAAAACATGTTCTTGGCTCAAATTTTGGCCGCGCGAAATTATTATTTTTATTGCTGTTTTTTTCATTATTTTTTATATATTTTTAAAATAAAATAATTAAAAAATTTTGTGTTGAATTTGAAAATATTAAAAAATATTGACTCTCTGTCAAAACTGTGTAAGAAGTATATTTTAAAAAAGATATCCCTGGTTTAAATCTTTGCCGGGCGAAATTGTAATTAAAATTGATGTTTTTTCACAATTTTTATAGATTTTAAAATAAAATAATTAAATTTAATTATTTTTGTTCGAAATAGAATATTTTTAGTGATTAAAGTGGCAAATACTTAAAATATATTGACTCTATTAGAATTATGTATGAACTGTGGTTTAAAAAATATCCCCGGTTCAAATCCAAGCCGCGACAAATTATAATTAATATTGATGTTTTTCCCTTTTTTTAATAAATTTTTAAATAAAATAATTGAATTTAATTATTTTTGACTAAAGCAAAAAATTGTAAATATATTCAAAATAATGCCCGCGATATAAAAAATTCAAAAACTTCCAACTTTTTTTTTTTGTATTTTTAATTTATTAAAATATTTTGCCTATCGATGTAAAATTTTGTGCAATCGTATTATACGGTGTTTTGCATTTCATAATTCTATATGATAAATATACGTTATTGACGATAGATCTTATAAAATTTTCGTACATTAAGACGTACAATGTGTAATTATTCAAAACGTAATTGAAAAATACGATACCATATCCTCCACCATTGCCATAGCCTGTAAAATCATTTGCTGATGTTTTTCCTAATGAAATTGTATGTCCATTTGGAGGTGGGCCATGCGATGGTATTGCATTAGGTGGCCCACCACTACCACTTTGGGCTCGCGTATACATATCACCTGAATTTATAAAGTGGCAAGAGAAAAAAATTTCAATATTTATATAAAACAAAAATTAACATTTCAAAGAAATATACCTGTTCCACCTGCACCATGCGAGCTCTGCTGCATGCTCCATGAATTCCAGGAAGCGTTACCAGAGGCATTATTTGGTCCTTAAAAAGCAATTTTTTTTTTTCTAAAAAGTATATTTTTTATACAGAGTTTCATACCATATCCTTGATATCCTTGCGCTTGTTGTGCTTGTGCTGCATAATTATTCCATTGTGGTGGTGGCGGGGGACCTTGGTGACCTGGTGGTGGTGCTCCCCATCCCTGATATGAACCTGGAGCATTAGGTTGATTATAATTATAATTTTGCTGTTGAGGTGGAGTGCCCCATCCTTGATAACTTTGCATCATATTTGGGGCGTTCATAGCTGCTTGCATTGCTGCTGCATTCATTGGTGGACCAGTATTTATTTGGCCATTTGGCCCTTGCAACATACCAGCAGTTGCTGCTGCAACAGCAGACATTGGACCGTTCCCATTGCCATTTTTTCCGTTAGCACTTAAAGGACCATTATTTGAACTATTTGCATTTGGACCGCTATTACAACCTGGTGGAAGATTTTGTAAATGATGCGAATTACCAGGGGGTGTTAGTCCATTGCCACCCATCATACTACCTCCAATACTGCTATTACCTATATTTACACCAAAATTATTATGATTAATTCCACTTGGGCCTCCCCAATGGTTGCTATCGTTTAAATTTTGGCCGCTTAACATACTATTTGGTATTGAACCAGTTCCATTATTGGTATTTAAATTTGTATGTCCACTTATACCAGTTACACTATTATTTGTATTACTTATACCACCCACACCCATACTAATAGCGCTTGAAGATCGTACTTGTAAATTACCACCTACATTTGTATTTGAAGCATTTTGATTAACAGTACTATTACCACCATCTGTTGTCATATTATTATGTGTATTTGCATTATTTATTTTTGAATGAGTATGAGATCCATCACGTGGTTCAGCTTTTTTTATTTCTACTTGTTTGCCATTTAAGTTAACAAAATGTTCATTTGTTATACGTTCAACAGAAACCTCATCTTGAAATGATAAAAAACCGAATCCTCTAGATTTTTTTTTCTCTTGATCATACATTATGACTATTTCCATTACTTTACCATAACGTCCAAAAAATAATCTTAAATCTGTTTCAGTTATATTAGATGGTAAACCACCTAAAAATACTTTCGGGTATCCACCAGTTTTTTTTGGTTTCTGTAGTGTACGCGGATTACAAATTTTTGGATCTATTGTTCTACAAAAAAAAATAATTATGATAATAACGAATAAAATAATTAAAGTAAAAATTTTTTAAATTTATCAGAAAAATTAATTACCTTCCATCTAATGAATGTGGACCACTACGTAAAACACAATCAACAATATTTGGATCTGCAAATGTTACAAATCCAAAACCTCTAGATCTTCCAGATTCATTGTTTTTCATCACAACACAATCGATAACTTCACCGAAACGGCAAAAATATCGTTGTAAATTGTCATGGGTTGTTTCCCATGACAATCCGCCAACAAATAATTTCCTGAAAAAAAAAACAAAATTTTATAAAAAATTTTTTTCAATAAGAAAATTTACTTGTATTTTAAAATTAAAGTCAATAAATCGACTGAATTCACCAACTTACCCCTTCTCGTCATCTTCAGTACCATTTTCTTGGTTGGTTCTCATTACAAAACAAATTTGTTTTTCGATATTTTTTCCTGTTTATTTTTTTTTAAGATTGCTTTTTTCTTTTTGTTTTCTATTACTTCTTTCGCTTTTTTTCCTTAAGACAATCACTTGCTTATTAAATATTTTGAAAACTTTTTATTTTTAGATTTTATAAAATTTTGAATTTTTTTATTTGTGTTTTTTAGTTACATAAAAAATTTATTTTAAACAAACAAACAAAAACAGAAGGAAAAAAATATAAAAACGAAAATAACGAGCAAAACATAAAAATGGTAAAAGGAAATGATTTTTAAGTGTTTTTACTTCCCTTTTGTTGATTTTTCTAGATTTGAACTTTAATTTTTGTTTATTAATTAGTTTTGCAATAAATGTGCAAGACGCTGTTAAATTGCAAATTAAAAAACATAAAATAAAAATTGACAATTTAGATGATCGTCTCTGATTACTGGTGTTGTTGTTATTTTGTTGTTTTAATTGCTGCTGCTGCTTCTTTTACTGTTTAACTATTTGTTTATCGCGTTTTGTTTTTTTAATGTTTAATTTTAATTTTATTAAATTTCCATTAGTTAATTTTATTATATTATTATTATCATTATTATTACTATTATTTTAAAATAATTATGCGCGGTTACTATTATATTATATTATTTTAAGTTGCAATCAAATAACAAATAATTAATATACGTATGTATAATAATTTTGTGTAAATTAAAAAAAAATTTTAGTATTTTTAATTTTATGATTTTAATTTAATATTAAAGTTAGAACATATAGTTTATTATATATAAGCATTTATATATATTTATATATATATATATATATATATTTAAATACGAATTGATGACTTACTGTTAGAAAAAAAACAAAGGAGAAAAATTATTGTAAAATTTTAATTAGAACTTAATTTAAAAATTAAAAAAAAAAGAAAATAGGATAAAAAATTTAATATGCGTTTATTTTTATTAAAAATTAATTAAGTACTCTTCTGATAATTGAATTGAAAATTCTTTACTCTATTCTTCAAAATAATTTTTTTCAATTCTTGTTTTTTATTATTTTAATTTTGTTATTTAAATCTAATTTTTAATTTATTAAATTAAAATTTTTATTAAATTAATCCAGTCTTTTATAGGTTATTTTCTTTTTTTTTTGTTTATGGTTCTTGAAGTATAATTTTACTTGCGTTTAACTTATTTAAGTCCTGCAGATGTTGATTTGTAATTTGTTATCATGAAATAAAAAAAAAGTAATAATATTACAATAATGTTTGTAATATTCGGGATAGTTCCTCTACCTATGGGCAAATTTTTTGTTTATTCAATAAACCATGCAGTGTAAAAAGCTTTACTACAGTTTAACGGCAGTGATAATACCCTAGTAAGACTTTAAAAACGACTGCATTTTAGACTCGATTTCTTCACTACGCTGCTTAGTTTGTTACTGCGTAGTTAAAACTAATTTTCAGCAATTTCGATCTTTTACATTGTATAAATTTTTTGTACTACGATATGGAGCAATGCGATATTGAATTTTTTACAATAAATTTCACTATCATTTAGTGATTCGATACTCAAAATAAGATAATAATACTATTGTACTCAGATAAAGCCGGTGTATATATGTAGGTACAGGAACTCATCCTTCATAATATTTTCAAATAAAATTTTCTGATATTTACTTACCTAATTAATTATACAGTGAAAATATATGTATATATATTTATTTATTGTATATTTAAACAAATATATATATATTTATTTATTGTATTTGTTATTTTTTTATTTATTTTTTACAAGTAAGTATTCTGGTTAAGTCTAAAAACTAACCTAATTAACCTGAAAAAAAAATGTTATTAAAATTAATTTTTTTATTTTTAAACAATAATTCATGTTATATGTAGATTGTTTATGTAGATAAGTACATAAACTATGTAATCAATAAAACTTCCTAAATCTTCAAGAGTAAAAATTTTGTAAGTTTATATAAATTCCGATTTTTTATTTATTTTCTATTTTTCCCTTAAATTATTTAATTGGACCGTTGTTAATTTTACTTCACAACTTCTATATGTAAATTTTTTCTTATACCATTGTCTTATTTTATTAACAAGGATAATTAATATATCACATGTATATTAACCGTCCGTCTTAATTAGCACATTAATATATTTAAATCTTTTTTGAAACAATAATTAACACCGATTATTTATATATTATAAATATTAATAAATAAAAAATTATTATTAACAATTTCTTTTATCGATTTATATTAATTTCAATATTGAAAACATAACAAAAATTTAAATAATTGATTTTTGTGAACTATATTTATAAGATTCAGTTGATTAATTTAAAGATTAAATGAATATTATAATAATTTATATTTTAAGTGTTAATATGAAATTTTCTTGCTAAATATGCGTAACTTGCGAGAAATAGTTTGATCAATCAAAATTACAAAATTTTTTTTATTTTGTAAATAACTGACTTTTTCATTTCATTTTATTTGCAAAACCAATTCAGCAACTTTGATAACGTAAATCTGACCAATTAAAAAAAACTTTTATGTTATTTTATTGGTCGTCATTAATTAGGAAAATAATAATTAATTTTTTAATATATTCAGCCAAAAACTATATTTTCTAATTACAAAATTGTATTTTTAAACTAAAATAAATAAGACAGTAAATTTCAAACTAACTAAATAAGACAGTGGTCTACTTCACTTTTTTCTTTAATAACTTTACTTTTACTAATTTAGCAATTTCATGAAAGTAAAAATTCTTTTGCGTTTTGGTCTGCTTTGAACAAAAATTTCTCTCTATGCACATACTACTGATTTAATGATAGAATTTAAAATAGAGGAAAGATAGAAATAATTGGGTGTGACAAAAACATTTGAATTCGTAACTAGGTTTAAAAAAATAAATTGCATTTTATAATTCGATTTAATTTTAAAAGAAACGTATTTCATCATTAAATTGCTACCAATACTGCAAAAGTTTAGAATCAAAACAATTACTGTTTCCAATTTTAATTTCGATAATCCAATTTTAATTTAGTACTAAGCTTGTAGTATGTTTTATCTAAAAACAAATGTTATATTTGAAAATGTTAAAATACGTTTTCAGTATATTTTAAAACTATTTTTCTATTAAGTATATTTTAAAACTTCGAATTTAAGCCATCAAATAAATGAGCGAGATTTCTCAATATATTTTTTTAAAAATTGAATTGCAAGAATTTCTTGTTCAACCAATAAGTGCTCCACCTGCCTATTAAATTTGAAATTTTTTGAAAGAGTCCAATTTTTTTTTTATTTAGGTATGCAAAATTTGAACTGCTTTATTTAAATCACAACTAATACTTGCGAACTGGAATAAATTTTATTATACATTTTTACTATAAAGGACGTTATTATTCCCATTGTACATGTTCATTAGGTTATGTATTCTTATATATTTATTCCTAACTATATAAAAGATAAACTAAATAGTAACTCTATATAATAGAATTATATAATTAATGAAACTATATAATAGAAAACTAAATTCGTATTAACCTAAATCTACATATTTCATATTAACCTAATGATATAAATATAAACATATTTAAATACCATTGTTTTTCATACTAATACTCTTGTCACAAAATTTTTGAATTATACATATAAGAATTGAATTAAAATTTTTAAATTTTTTATTTTTTTAATTGTATAAGACCTATATATTCCAAAGTGTTAGCATTCCAAAGAAGCAAAAATGTTGAAATTGATCAATATATGGATCTTGTAGTGCAAAGATTTGTACTTATAGCAAATGCATGTAGTGCAAAGATTACCAAATAGCAAATAGTTCCCCTGTAAAATTTTCAATTTTCCATAGAAGCGTTTTGAAAGTTTGCGGAAAGAAACCAGTTAATTAGGAAAACGTATAATTTAATTTTAATTTTTTGTTTTCTTATTAAGTACTTAAATTAGTTTTTAACTGAAAAAAAGTTTTTTTTTGATAAAATTTGAGTTTGTGCACAAAAGATCCGTTCTTTTAACATAAAATATAGGTAATCTTATATAGTGTTATAATGGCTAATACAAACTAATGTACTTATGTACATATTTATATTTCATCACCATATCAGTTTTTGTAATAAAAACATTCTCAGAAAGCATTTAGCCTGTTTCAATCACACCAATCTCGTAAACTATTACACGTACTTCAGTGCCGTACCATACAAAATTATTAATGGTGTAAAAGATAGTTTGTTGCAGTTAGTTGGTTTTTTTTCTTATAAAGATGAGATTCAATTAATTCTCTCTTCTCTTCTTTCCTTTGTAAGTAAAGTATTTCCGGTTTAGGTGGTGTATTCCACATTGCTTAACATACAAATAAATTTATAAAATATGCTGATAAATGGATCAGTTGGATGATGACGTGTGTTATGTACTTTTAACACCTGATTTATGAAACATGAAATTTCTCTGCATGTTTATACATGATAATGTACGTACTTCAATTATGTAGGTAGAAATACCTTTACCTGGATACCAATTCAATTCTCTTTTCTTTTTCAAAAATTTACCTAAAATAAACCAAAAAGCTACAAATTGATATTAAGTATTTACACTTGAATTATAGACAAATTAAACATTTTGTGGAAAAAAATATATATATGTATATGCTAAAATATTACAGAAACGTAAGTACACATACATGTCTACTTACAAGTTAAGTATATTAGTTTGCAGATAAAAGACCTGATAATAGGAGAAATCCTTTTTTTTTGGATTTTTAGAATTTCCAGAATATATACATACTTACATATTATTAGGTTTAACCTACATTATATTCGTACAAATGCAATTAAGCACATATTTCAAGTATTAGAATTAAATAATGAATTTTCAATTCTAGAAATATTAAACTCATTCTCCTTAATTTTGCCCTCGTAGTTTTAGATTTTCTCCAAAATCTTTTTTTTTCTCTCTTATTAATATTTTTTCGACTTTATAAAGCAAAATCCAAGATAAATAAAAGCACCGCTACATATGTGTATATGATGTAGTATTTTTTTTATTTTTTTGTATAAAATCCTTCTATTGTTTTTATAAAAACAAAAATTCATCCATTGTCGAACAACAGATTTAGAAAGTTTTATATTGATTACTATATTTTATTGGAAAAAATAAAAATTAAATGATATAAACTAAAACTTTATTTCTAAATTAGAAAATTCTAATACACAACCAACTGACTGAAAAAAAAACACCACGATAAAATCACCACTTACCGCACACTTTTTTTAAAAAAAGGAAAAAAAAAATCTTCTGTAGGGGATGTAGGAAAGGAAGATTGTGATAGATACATACACATATACCACATTTACAATAATTACTATAATTTTTTGTTATAAAGTTACAAAAATATATTAAAAAAAATAAGAATTTTCCTAGAAACGACCGAAAAATAAGCTGCACCACTTATTTGTTTTAGAAAAAAAATATTTTTTGGAAACAAAACTTTTTTTGATAAAAATTCAAATTTAAAAAAAAAAAAACTCAATTTTTTTTTTTAGCCTACTTTCAATGTTTTTCCTTTTTGTTGCTTTTTTTTCATATTTCATCTCCATTTTAAGTGATTTTTTTTTCACTTTTTCTCACAAAAAAAAATTATTTCTTAGCACAAATAAAAATTACTGTTTTTTTCCCCCTCTTTTTTCTTCCTCTTCTTTTATTTTCCTTTTTCTACTTTTTTTATGTTGTATTTTTCGAGAGGACATAAAAAATATTTATACAGTAATGGTGTGGTGGTGTACTAGAAAAATAAAAAACAAAAAAAAAAAATCGAAAGATAAA